TCTTTATGGTTTGATTAAATAATTTTTCATTTTTTTGGGTATATTTTATTTTTTTTTTCGAACCAAATATTATTTTGTTTATGATAAATTAAATTGTTATTGTAAAAAAAAAAAATTGAATTTTTGAAAAATTTAGGTCGGAGGGTAATGTAAAACGAAAAAAATTAATATGATGTGACCTTGGAGATCAACTAACATAATATATTCATGATTATAGCTATTTACTGTAGAGGTGGAAGGAACAATTATACAACAGAAAATTTATTCATCCGAGTTACTGTCACTCGTAGCTGTACATGGGAGTGCATTAATTTCAATAAAAAAACCCGCCGAAATCGTTATTGTTCCTCATTTACCAGTATTGTGCACTTAGATGATTACTTGACGTATATATCGCATATTGATAATAATTTTCTTTTTTTAGGTTTTTCATTCCTGGTTTTGCGCGACAACGTCGCACAATTATGTAGTTTGTTATTACAGCTGTTTTTATAAATTCTGGGACAACGATAAAAATTGACTAATGATCATTCGGTCGAATTCGGCAAGTTTTGAATTCTTTGTTATTGGAATTACTGTAATGCCGAAGACCCAATACCGATAATACCGAATTCAAAAACTTATCGAATTCGGCCGAAATAATTTTTATAAATTGTCCCAGAATTTATGAGAACAGCTGTAATCTAAATTAATAGGCCGAATTTTCATGTGACCAAGGTCTTTTAATTTCTAAGGCTTTCTTAGAAAGGTATTTTACTTGTTCAAGTATTATAGCTATAATTTAATCAGTTACTGAGCCCATCTAAACTTATCAGGTTTAAGAGTGACTTGTAGTTGTACTAGCTAAAGTTCCAATCCGGATAAATCGGTCATCCATTTATCCTTATTTAAATTATCCGGATAATCCGATATCATAACGGATAATGGATATTCAATAGTTAAATGGATAATGGATTGGAACTCTAGTACTAGCTATATACTAAACCGTTATCCATTTTAAGCCTTGAAAATTTATGTGTCTTAGTAATAAATTTACAAAATCTGCGTTCCTTCTCAGAAGAATACAAAATTTAATTTATTAAGTCGACCAAAAATGGGAATACTAATTAATGATTTATATCTAAGATTGTTATCAGTATGAAATTACAAAAAACTCTTAGAATAGACCGGAGTTTACATATTTATCTAATTGTATTAATTGTATGTTATTTAGGTCTAAGCTAAGTTGTAAACTTTAGATATAATGCAAATCCAAAATTGCCGACTATAAGAAATAATCATATATGCTAGTGATGGGCAAATGAGTCTTTTTTTCAAATTTCATGCGCATGGAATTCTGGCCTGCATTATGGTTGCTTGCTGCAAATGCGGGCTAAAATTATGAGATTCCGAATATTCCCATGCGCATGGCACATGACAATATATAGCCCCTATAAAAAATGTTGATCCGTGTTTATTATTCTGTTTTTTTTCGATGAATGTTTCATTTTTATGGAATTTTTACGGAGACCACGGAGAAATAATGGAAATATTCGGATAGGGAATTCGTTGATCAAAAATCTGCACTATGAAACCTGTTTTTAGGAATCTCCTGGGAGGGTTATTTACCCGACGGGCCACTTACCCGACATCACATGGGGTTAGGGTTAGCATTTGATTAGCTGCAGTTATATATTTTTAGCAATTTGTCACCCTTGTGATGTCGGGTAAGTGGCGTTTCGGGTAAATAACCTTCGGGGAATCATACCGTAACCCTGGGAGCACTGGGGCTTTATAGGCATTTGTGCACCAAATAAAACACAATAATTGGTTCGTACGTGCGTACGAATTTTCCATTTACAGATCTTCTACCAAAATTCCTTATCGATCGTTATTGTACTTCATATGTCACAGATCAAGTGTAACGTGAAAATCACTATTTTTAAAAAAACCGCCAATAACTCAAAATATTGGATATGAAACAAAAAAAATTCCTTTCAAAATTTTAGTATAGAAATGCACCATTGTAATCTCTATTATAATCCTAGCGTAAGAGTTTATTGATTTAAAAATATCTCACGTAGATTAGAGTTGCTGATGAAACTAATTTATGCTGGTGAAACTGATGACTATCTAAAATCTGATTGGCTATTGCATTTAATAGCCAATCAGATTTTAGATAGTGTAGATCACCTGATTGGTACATTTCACACGGTTATATTGGAGCCAAGATTATTATATCGCTACCTTATACATTTTAATCTTTAGAACCATTGATTTTATTATCTTTTGCACTATTTTGCCGGTCAATAATTAAGCTATTAAACGATATTACAGTATATTTCGGCTCATTTTACTGACATAGTTATCGTAATTATTATTGATAGGGATATATTTAAGGTTAGTGTAAGTTATAAACTTGTAGTAATTGCCTGTTAAATAAGTCGCCTATGAAGTGACTGTTGATGAATAGTGATCACAATATTATATAAATTTGTTGGCCTTAGAATGTAGCAATAATAATAATTTTTCTTGGAATTTTGTAAAAAAATGATTAAACATAATTATAATTATATTACAAACATGAACTTGAATATCTTTATAATTTTACTCTTATTAAATTTGTATTTTGGAAAATGTAATAGTAGTTGGATTATTAGCACTGATTCATCGTGTTGGCATCGTAAGTTTCTAATGTTGTTGAGTTATTAAGCTAATATAATATTCATTCGCTAATAAATTTTATAATTTTGAATTATTATAGAATCCGGTGATCTTGAACCAAAAGTTTTAGATGCGCGCTGGACTGGAAATAGTTCTATTGTACTTACTCTTCAAGCGCCCAAGAATGATCCTAAAAGATTTGGTAACAAAATAGTTGCACCTGCAGCACTTGGCCACTTTACTTTGAATTATAATAATGGAAATCAATTTAGGTTTAGCAAGAATGCAAATTTTATAAATGGTTATAATGAAACAAATACTGGTGAAAGCTATGTAGGAGCTAATCCAGTAAATGTGGTGTCCGAATATTCTGATAATTATAACATTCCGCGTGGTGCAACAGTAACGGTTGCTGTTTCAATTTATTATGGATGCCAAAGCGGTTTTGACGGTGGTAATAGAAAAACAGAATGTAATAGTTGCGATGTTAAGTATAATGTGTATTATCCGTTTTAAAGTAGGTTAGACTTTAGAAGAATTTACAATATAGCACGTATACGATTAGTGTCTAATCGTTTTAATGCATATTTCAGTTTGATATTAAACATTTGGGGATACACGAATTAAGGAAATTCAATATTTCTAGGATTATTTTCATAATTTTTTTTATAAAACATAATAACATTTAGGCATATTCATATATTTTTGTTTATTTTTTTTAAAAAAAAATTTAATTCTTAATATTAGGGGTTTCAGAATTTAAAAAAAAAAATATATATATATATACAGTTAACTCTTCCAAATCCGGACCTGGATAATCCGAACCCTTAATAAACTCTGTAAAAACCGAACACAAAGCTTCGGAACATTTGTAAATTTTATTATAAAATTCGGATCAGCAACATAGTAACACTTTGTGAACTGAACTTTTTGTTATTTTTACATATAAGAACGGACTGTTCGGAATAGAGAGAGTTGACTGTATATATAGCATATTTTGGAAATAAGTGGGAGTTTAAAAATTTTATTTGTGTATTAAAATTTTGAAATCGGAAAATGAAATGTGTGTGTTTAGAGAATTTAACGAATAAGTAGTGATGGACCTGTCAGTCCTGGTCGGTCCCGGTCCCTGTAGGACCGATTTAATAGTGTTAATTGGTCCGTCTTTCAGTCCTAAAATCGGTCTTACGAATTTTTATCAATTTAAAACACACACTTCTTATATGTTATTAATATGATATATACATTTAAATATGTTAAATATTCATTGTAAAATGTACTTTTTTTCGTGCGAAGCAAATTTAATAAATAAAACAATTACAATATTTTTCTATTCTCACAAATGCGCTAATTTAATGCAATAAAAAAAATTGCAAAATTGCAAATTTTTTTTTGAAGCCAATTTTTTTAACACGGAATTGCTCATCGCCTAATCTATTTCTTTTGTTTGAAATAGTAAGACCGGCTACGGATGATGCTTGCTCAAAATAGGGTAATCTTTCCGCACTCGCCACCGCGCTACGGATTCGAAATAACTTCCAATGCAATAGAACTACTTTCTCGTTCATTTTGTAAGTTATTTGATGGTGTATTTGCTAGTAATGTAAAAGTTTCGGAAGAAACATCAAAAGTAGTGAAACTAGATGAGGTAGACAGAATAAAGAAGTAGAAGAAATTGGTTGGATGAGTTTCAAAAGTTTGTGAACCGTTGGAGAATGAAGGTAACGGTCTTTATTATCGTTATTGTTGAAAAGAATGAAAAAATCAATTTTTATTTTCTTATTATTCATCGTTATTCTTATCAGCTACTGTGGGACCATTGTTTGAACCAGAACCAGATCGTTATGGACCGAGGACCGAAAGTCATTCGGTCTTCCGTCCGTTACGGTACAGTACCGGTCATTACGAAGACCAATCCTTCACTACAATAGTAAACTTTTCAACATCATTTCAAATTTATCGGAAAATGAAATAAAATTTATACATTACTAATTTGTTATCTATTTCCACCCAAATTAAGTTCTCGCATGTTAAATTCTGAACCCCTTGTTTATGTGTAGGTCATACCAACTTATTGCGCTTTTCAAAAAGATGTGGCCCCTGCAAATCACAGTCATACGAGATCGGGGATTCTATCAATTTTAAGAATTTTATCGATTTCGAAGAAATATAAACGTAACGGATCGAAAATATAAAACAGCGAACAATCCAAAATCTCAGAACTTTTCCCCGATCATTACAAAAATCATTACAAAAATCATGTGGCCACATCTTTTTGCAAAACGAAATAATATAATCAGTTTTCATATCCCGTCGTGTCAGCAGAGTTTATTTTATTTTATTTTATTTTATTTTGTATTTTAATATAGTAATGTGAGTACCGCCTTAATGCAATCATATATACTTGACCCCAATAAATGATAATGAAATTTATTTTGTCAGCTCTCTTACTAACTTTAAGCAACTCGAACTGGACTACTTAATCCTCCAAACAAAATCACCTAAATTAAATTATATAATTATTAGCTAAATTAAAAGAATTAAAAGATACGATTAAAAAAGTGACAAAATTGTATATAGTAGAAAGAGTCCAAAAAAATATGATTTTGAAATAATCAAATTGATTACTATTGGTTAATAATTTCAGGTAATGTATAAGCTCTTCAAAATTTTTCATGCCAATCGATTTTCGCGCAGAAATTTACAGAAATCTTACAAAATCTTATTGATTTTCAGATGCTATATTTAAAAATGAGATTTCTTAAAAAATATTTAAATTGATTTGTTTTGGAAAGAGTGGCTAATAAATTTAACCAGTTTTGGTAATATCAAATTAAATAAATAACTTGTATCAACTGTAGTTTGAGAATCTTCATTTCACAAAATCGCAACATAAATTTTTACTATTTTTAATTTATGGCTAGTAGAAAGTGTTTTTTTTTTTTTTTTAACTCATCCATGCACTTGATGTACTTGATGCTCTTGGAAGATCCTTTACTTCTTTAGGTCATCCAATTTTCGGACTTGTGTAAAATTTGATTTTTTAAGCCATTTCTTTTGTCATAAGAATATTGTGGACTTTTAACAAGATCAAGCGCCTACACATAAATCTTTCAACTCAATAGTTTAAAATGTAATGATATTCATGTCGACCTGAATGATCCGAAACTTGCTATTATATAGGCCATGACCAATATAGTAAATACTGTTATGGGCGGAATAGCTGCGACTCGGTCGCTCCACAATCCAAAAACTCGCGTAACCTGCGGGTAGTAACC